TGAAAGAAGCCTTAAGTGAATGCAAGTGAATCTTCTTTTCCTAGTTTTGGGACTGGGGGTTTCCTCAGCTAATTTAGGTTGAGGCCATTGCATATGTAGGGTCATATTGTGATTCTAAACGTAGCCACAACACAAGGCAGATGCTTAATTTCTGCTTCTCATACTTCCCTTTTGAAAGACACTCTTTTCTTCCTAGCATAGCCTTTTCTAGGAGAGTAAGCCCTGAGTGGCTGCACTTCTTGCTTTTAGCAATCCCTACAGTATCTCACCAGTCTCTTAGGGGCTGATGCTTCAGTCTGTGAACTGCTATCGAAATCTGTAACAGTTAAAAAAAGTGCAGGATCAAAGGGGTATTCTGCTTGCAGCTTAAAGGCTTACAGAATTTGTAGCACTAATGTAGACATTGTTTCTTTGGGATTTTGTATGCATTCTTATGTACATCTATCATGTGCAAACCTACTTGTGGAATTCCTTTTCCTTCCTTCCTCAGTAATTCTTTCTTGTTTTTTTTTTTTTTGAGATTGGGCAGGAGCTGAGTTCTTTTGCCAAATGTAGTAACATGTGGCTGCCCCATCCCTGGCAGTGTTCAAGGCCAGGCAGGACAGGGCTTGGAGCAACCTGGTCTAGTGAAAGGTGTTGCTGCCCATGGTGGGGGGCTGGAACTAGATGAACTTTAAGTCCCTTCCACCCCAAACCAGCCTATGGTTCTATGATTCCATGAAGCAAAAAGCAAAAGTGTATCAGTAATAATACATCAGGCAGAGAACGAACGAATGCTTGTTTTACTTCAGATTTATTTGACTATGTCTCATTTATGCTATGATTGCTACATACTGATCACGCAGAAAACAATCAGATCCTTCTTTTCCAGAGTGGTGTAAATAAACATGACTATACATTATAGCTGTTCCCAGTATTTCCTGTGCCAGATGACGAATTGGACTTCAAATTACATACACAAAATGCATGACCAATTGTATATTTTGGTTTGCAATTATCCCAAGTGCATATGCTAATTGCTGGTTATGCTGCAGCAGTAAAATAAACTTTCAGGTTTTGTTGTCATTACATTTTCAGTGTACAACAACTAATTTATTGGTCCTCTGAACATAACGAGTATTCTTTCTGTCTGTGAATGATCTTTATATATCTATAAATCATAAATTGCAAGAGTCCTTCAACACAGGGTCAGCAGGTCCATGCTGTTTTGTACCTGCTCTGTTCCAAGTGGTGACCTTCATAGATATGTCTTTAGTTTTTTGCCTCTTTAACAATGGGCTGAGCATTGTCTTTTCACTGCATAGCATTAAGCACACTTTCTCTGATATTTTGTGATGTTTTGCAATTATATACAGCAGTACAAAACTCTGCTTAAAGGAAGCAAATATCCAGAGCAATCTGGAGATGTACTTAATTTCTCTGTGGTGGACAAAACTATGTCAGACAATTACAAGAACGACAGAGTAGAAAAGCAGGTAGAGCACATAGACGGAACAATATCATCTGGTGAGCTTTTTGGACACCAAACCAATCCATGGCAGAGCTCATGTGTGTTTCTCACTCAAGAGTTTACTCTAAGAACTGTGTACATTAATTGAGCCACCTGTGTAAGTGCCACAGCACCAGAGCCTATAGAGAAGGTCAGCCTGGGTTCAGGCTTTAGCTGATGCCATTCAGATCTCTGTGGGAGTCATTGGCAGGTGATGGTGCAGCACAAACAGGATCTCCTGCCTTTCAGTGATCATCTTTATGTTCTAGAGACTTTCCTTCTTGTCATGGTTTAACCCCAGCCAACAGCTCAGCCCCACACAGCTGCTCCTCACTCCCCCCAGTGGGATGGGGGAGAGAATTTGAAAGGTAAAAATGAGAAGACTCAGGAGCTAAGATAAGGATAGTTTAATAGGTAAAGCAGAAGCAGTGCACACAAGCAGAGCAAAACAAGGAATCCATTCAACACTTCCCATTGGCAAGGAGGCATTCAGACATCTTCAGGAAAGCAGGGCTCCATTATATGTAACAGTGACTTGGGAAGACAAACTCCATCACTCCGAACATCCTTCCCTTCCTTCATCTCCCCCTGGCTCTATATGCTGAGCATGACATCATAGGGCATGGGATATCCCTGGGGTCAACTGGGATCAGCTGTCTGGCTGTGTCCCCTCCCAGCTCCTTGTGCACCCCCAGCCTTCTCAGTGGTAGGGCAAGACGCAGAAAAGGCTTTGACTCTGTGTAAGCACTACTCAGGAATAAGGAAAACAGCCCTGGGGTATCAACACTGTTTTCAAAAGCACAAATCCAAAACATAGCTCCATACCAGCTACTGTGAAGAAAATGAACAATCCCAGCCAAAACCAGCACACTCATCCTTTATAGGATGAGGCTCCCAGTGGATTAGAGCAGGAAACCTCATCATGGATATTTCCTCTCCCGAGGGTCTGCCCAGGCAGGAAATCTAGACCAGCATGGAGAATGCTAATAGATTGTTGCCAGGCTTCTGTTTGCTAGCTGAAGCAAACCACATGGCATCAAGGACATGTGTACAAGCCTGTTGCAAGTGGTGGGACCAGCTGATTGTTCAACACTGCAGTGAAGAAGAAAGCTCTTGTAACAGCCCTGATCTCCAGTAACTGTAATCAAATACTACGCAGAAGAAAAATCACGTATGATACACTGATATTTCTACTTGTGCACAAAGAGTGGTGGAACATTGTTGGGGTATTTAACGTGTAGGAATGTAACACAGTTGTATTAATTTGCTTGATAACAGTAACATTTCCTGTTACCTACATTCCCTGATTCAGCATGTTTGAGACACATCTTTGATGAAAATACATGTGTCTAGAGGTTTGTGTGCAAGGATTGTATTTGGGTCAAATGAAAAAGTGGCCCTTATTGTGTTGGATGGTTAAGCTGTAAAATTCAACCAGAGAAAGAGTAGAAGTAATAATCTTGCTTTTACCAGTTCAGCAGTAAGCAGAGCAGGTACAAGCCACGTTTAATGCATCTGGGAAATGGTAATGTTAAATTCTCTTGTCTTCCTATGCCAGGTGCCAGGATCTCTGAATTTCTAATTGAGAGCACTAGCTAGCAAGACTGATAAGGCACAACTGAGCACCTGGATTGCATCAAAATGAGAATAACTCTGTTAACTGCTGTTTATTGTAATGTTCCACTACAGACAACACCTGTGGTATGACTTTAGAAACGGATAACCTGAGCTGATTTCACACAAGGTGAACTCAGCAGTTGTCAGCTTTTTAGGCAGCTTCCCAGCCATGTGCTGAGGGCACATGCTCATAACACAAGAGAAAATCATGCTTCATGGTTATATGGTACATTACAACTTTTTTTTTTCCTTATCTTTAAAATTCCTTGTCTGCTTCTGCATTAAAAGGAAGTTTCAAGTAGCTGCGATTTTAACATTTTCTCATATCTTGGAGTAGGTATGTCACCAGCCATGTTCTAAAAACATCTGGATGGTCAAAATTGCTTAGCACTGGTAGCGTGCACTTGCAGAGGAACTGAAGTTTTGTCAAAGATGCTTTTAACTGCTTTCCCATCTATTTTATTCTCTTAGACTTTTTTTTTTTTTCTGAATCAACAATAATAGTGCTGTACCCCATGGAGTTTACAGCACTGAAACAACACATCCTTTTGGAATTGGGTACAGATCTAGTAAGAGATCCTCTTGCTGAATACTGGATTTTGATTAGCTTTGGATCTTTACATGAATTTCCTTCATGTTCAAATAATTTACATTTGGAAAATATGAACTAAAAAAATGCATCTTGTCAGGACCACTTTCTAATTACTCAGTCTGTATAGAAGCTGATTCACTAGATTCATAGTCAGCAATTTATCATCCAACCCCTTTCTACTGTTCAGAAGACAGTCAGTGTTGTCTGATATACCATAAACATCCGACTAAGGCATATTTATTGTTTTTTTACATTACTTTGATAGCAAAAGAAAATACAACTTTTCCATAAAAATGAATGCCTTTTTTTATTTGGATGGATTTTTCTTTCCAGGATTGGAGAGAAAAATTGTAACTACTGACATTCATTGAATGAAGTTAGAACTTTTCAGTTTAGTGAAAGCTTTGAAATGCAGCAAAGAGATGAGCATAATGAAGAATGTCTTTTCTGCTCAGGTAGCTACTGCTCCTACAAGATAGGATCATTCCCTGTGTTTTCCTAGAGTTCTGCATATACTTGCACACATGAATAGTGTCAATCACATAGCAGCCCTATTCCCTTGTGGGTATGGCCAAAACAATATAGTGGAATTAAAGATGAGTAATGTGGAAAATGGGAGGTCTTTGATTCTTGTATGATCTTTAGACTCTCAAGAGTGCAAGGATAAGGAAAATAAGCTCCATATTTCAGGTCTGTTTGATTTTGTAAGTAACCAATTGAAATTAATAATTAACCTTTTAAAATAAGATTCCTTAAGAGTGCCAAGGGTTTTTTTTAAAGGCAACTGCACCTTGTTTCTGGTGAGTTGTTCCCTGTCTGTGGCATAAGCTGTGCTCAGTGGTTTTCATTGCTTTCTCTCTAACACTGAGGTATTTTATACCTCTTTCTGTTCTGATTGCCAAATAGCACAGAAATGTATATCCAGTACCACCTTTGATAAATGATTCTTGTTCTGAATTTGGTCTTTTGAACCAAATGAAACTATAAAAAATATTTTTTCCAGTGTACATGTGCTGGATATATTGGCCGGTGGTCCTTGCTCAATTGGCAGGATTCTTCCTAATCCTGTTTAATTTGTCTCAATTCATCTCAATTCTTCTCTGCCTAATGGGTAATATTGAAATTCCAGTGCTCTGGAAGGCAACATTTGCTAATATAATACGAGTAAGTCGAATTGGAAAGCATCCACATTTCTGTACAAGGTAGATCCTTCCTTCCCTCACAGTGCTTCAGTGAACTGTGCCTCCCTCTAAATCTTGAATCATTGTGTTTGAATTCCAAGCGTGCACCTTAGCTGAAAGCATCAAGAACACCAGTTGTCTGTGTTAGCAGCTTACTCACTCTGGTTTATTTATCCCTTTCTGGATCTGGCATCTAGAGCCAAGTGCTTCTTTTAAAAATTCCTTTTGTAAGTATTTCAAATTATTTCCACATTGGGATGAACTTCCCACCCCCTACATAGAGTGGTCCTTAGCCTGAAGGTTTTGCTTATGCTTTCACAGAAACTAAGTGTGGAAGCCAATAAGAGACTGTTGAAGGGGAATGCAAGTGGTCTAAGGTAATTTCTAGTTTAATTTTGTAGCAGTTAGGATTAGGTTATTAAACATATTTAAAATGAGAGGTGAGTGCCTACATATGTAAAAAATCTAATGTTTAATCTCTGAGCTTCAGCTTGTTCAACGTTAATGAGAACTAGTACTTGTATGAGGGTTTTTCTTAATTGCTTAATGGAAAGTGTTACATTAACAGGTTGATCAAGAATACAGTTTTATAGGACTCAAAATAATTTTTCTCTTTCAACAGGTGACATATTCAAGTGGTGACATAAAAAAAATTATCAAAATTTCATTAGATTTACTTCTTAGAGAGATATGCAAATCGTATTTGATCTTCTACTCTGATGTTTGCCTTCCTTTATTGAAAGGATGAAGAGATTCCTGCTGAGCTAGAGGCCAGGAAACAGTACTTTTTTTGCAAGCTTGTGTGAGCAGAGTTTACACTATCAAGATACTTATTTAAACATGGCTAATTACAAGGCTGGTCATGGCAAAGAAGCTCTGGTTCTATAACTTGTAGGTAGTTTTACTAAACCCTTGCACTTAGGCTGAAATGTTGCTGAACAATTCCTTCGCAGGAGTGCTGTTCTTGTCATATTACACCTGTGGTGTAAGAACACGTGAAGCCTTAAGCAGTAACACTTGCTTATTTGAGTAGTCACAGATAAGGTAGGTTTGTGAGAGGTGCTGAGCAGCTTCCACGGCTATTGTATTAATGAAAGTACTGCATGAGGAAAGGCTGAACTGCAACCTCCTTGTTTGATCTGTTGCATCTTACTTGGTCTGTTTGAGAATATTCTTTCTGATTTGCTTTTGTTTTATCCTTGACATACACAGAATGTGTATTTACACCAGTACTGCGTTAGACATTAATTTGGTTAAACGGTTTCTCACTGTATTCAGTACTGCTTAGCTGCATCTGGAGCAAAATTTAATAGAGCACACAGTTAAGTGTTTGCTAAAAAGAAATAGAAGAGGCTGGCAAGGAATTTCTAATGTATCTGTGAAAGTTTTACAACAGCTTATTTATGCAGAAGTCATTATTTTGCATTTCCTTTTGTGTTAATGAGAATTAGTTAAATCTCTGATACCTTTGGAGAGAATAAACACACATAATTTCTCTCTTAAAATTTTGCTGAAAGGTTCTGTAGGAAACTTCAAGATACAGATCTATCACCACAGACGTATCTTCTAGTCCACCATTAGACAGCTGCCAGTGGCATAAAAATCAGTTTCAAAATGGGCATGAACTGGCATTTTGGCTGGCAACATCATCAGAGAATAATATGTAAGGGAGCAAGTTTGCCCACTCATCACTGCATTTCTTGTAAGCCAGGATGCAGTCCTGAGGGAATTTATCCTCATGTTGGCATTTCTTACACCTTTTTGAGGAAGTGCTGAAATGCTCTTTCACAAAAATTTATTCTTTTGATTAACTCCATTGATTCCATAGGATGGTTCAGGGGACTAATGTCAAATGAATCTGATTTAAAGTAAATTTAAATTAATTGAATAAGATATATTTACAATTATGATCCATCTTCATATCTTAATGTTAAAACCTCTTCAGAGTACACCTGTTTGAAGCCAAAGCAGACAATGCCCTTCCAGATCAGGCCCATCACAATACAGTAGGTATTCCTCGGTCAATAGAAATTAAATTTTAACTAAATTTTCCAGAACATTCATGGGAGATGCAAATCCAAATATGAAATATTTCCCCAAAAGAATGCAATTCCTTCATGCATTTACAAGGAATGGATTAACAAGAGCTGTTGGATCTTTGTTTAGTACATTTTAAAATGAATACAAATGGAATTTTCTAGCAGTGATCCAAATTATGCCCTGCTATATTTTCCAGAGATTCATTTCTCCATTTCCAAGCTTAAGCATTTGGAAGAAATCAGAGAGTTCTGTTCTAAGCCCCTTTAAGGGTGATAGATAAATACTAAAGGGAAAACATTTGACTCAAATAAGTGAATTTCCTTTATGTATTGTTTTAAACCCACTTTTCTTCAGTCAGTTTTCCTTGAGAGCTACATAAAATCATTTTGAATGTTGTAGTATTGGAACTGAGAAAGATGCCTGCAGTTACATAAAACCACTGTTAGGTCACTTATGACTGAAAGTGGCAGTTAAAATCGGTGATATTTATTTTGTCTCTGTCAGGTGGAGAAGTAAATCAGTTTGTAAATATAAAAAAAAGATAACACTGATAGGGAAAGAAAAGGTTATATATGAAAGGATGAGACATTATTCTTTTGTGGGGAGGGAGTGTGTCTCAATGTTCTTATTATATGGAAACTAATCTTTATGCTTAAAAGAGTGACCTGGAACAAAGACCTTGGTTCAGCCATCAGCTCTGTTCCTGATGCTCAGTGATAATGCTGTTTTGTAGTAAGCAAATTGTGAATCTTCTGGGGCTTTAGTCACAGTTACATTGAAGACCTTTAACACCCCTCTGGCAACTTGCTCAGTCTGCTAGACAATATTCCTTCCGCACCAATAATGTTATCAAAAATATTGAAGAAAACCAACTGAAAATAAAGCCATCAACATCCTTTAGTTGATCCAATTATCTGTCTCTAAAAAAAGGTTTAACACTTCCCACACAGAACAGCAGCTTGAGTAATTTGGCAATGATAACAGTGCATAATCAAGAAACACGAGGCTGTGATATGTGGTAATATATCCCATTTTGTGTACAGGGAGAGTTTTGTTTAAGTAAATATATTTTCTTTTAAGTACCTTTTGGATTACTTGTTAATAGGTTGCTCATCCCATTAGTCTCATGGAGTTACTACAAATGTTTAACTGCAGAAATCATAAATGGGTGAATTGTAACATTCCTGATGATGGCAGATTGCAGATTAGGCTTTGTGTCTTTGTTGTTTTTTTTTTGTCATGTTCAAGGTGTGTTTGAAGATAGGGAGCAACTATGACTAACCTGTAGAACAAAGGATTGGATGGTTTGGTTATTTAGCTTCTACTGGTGACTAATTCACAGCTAAACCTGAAGTGTGCCATCATTACAGAATAGTGCTCAGACAAGTCCTTTTAATGATATGCTGTCATAACTTCCCAGATGACATTACAACACGGTGTTTTATCAGCAAATTACATCAAAGGCCTCACATTCAATTACGCAAGGTTGGGCTGGGAAATAAAGCAGTCTGCTGCATTTAAAATGCAATGAGTTGTTTTCACTGTTAAAATGAGGAGACCCTTGCGTTGTAAACCTGCGGACAGGCTACAGTTTTAAACTTTATGTCTGCAGCTGCTGTGAACCTCCAAATTATTTATGTATGGGATTTGCATGAAGTCCGTGACAGATCTCAGGAGTACCTTAGACCCCAGGCACTGTGGTGACAGGTACCCTAGGTACAGTGTACTTTGAATAACCATTAAAAATTGTGGTTACAATGTCAACTGGGAGGAGACACATCCACATCCAGAGGCCCCAGCCCTGATGTCTGTACTGAGTGAAGGGAGATTTGACAGAGTGAAAAGAATAAAGGACTAACCTGGAAGTTTCCACGGGATATTTATACTATACATAAAGACCTGGCTGCATGCTTGTCGCCAGCATCAGTTTTCCATCAGTACAGAGCTATTTGAATTGAGACGGTGGCTGTTTGTACATGAAAAAACCAATCTTGTGTTACATATTATATCCTTCATAGCACTGATTTTAAAGGAAAGGGACAACATTTTGTCCTTCCCAGTCCATAAAATCTACAGACAGTCTGACAAGGAATACTTTGGGACATTGTTTTATATTGCTTATAAAACATAATTCATAATAAGCAGCATAATGCATTAATAATAGTTTACTAAAACAACAAAAGACTTCCATGGCATTATTCAAATGAAGTATTTCACAGTATCACAGTATCACAGTATGCTGGAGATTGGAAGGGACCTCAAAAGATCATCTAGTCCAATCCCCCTGCCAGAGCAGGAACACCTAGATAACGTTACACAGGAATGTGTCCAGGCGGGCTTTGAATGTCTCCAGGGAAGGAGACTCCACAACCTCCCTGGGCAGCCTGTTCCAGTGTTCCGTCACCCTCACTGAGAAGAAGTTCCTTCTCAAGTTTAAGTGGAACCTCTTGTGTTCCAGTTTGCACCCATTACCCCTTGTCCTATCATTGTTTGCCACTGAGTAGAGCCTGGCTCCATCCTCGTGACATTCCCCCTTTATATATTTATAGACACTAATAAGGTCACCCCTCAGTCTCCTCTTCTCTAAACTATAGAGACCCAGCTCCCTCAGTCTTTCCTCATAAGGGAGATGCTCCACTCCCTTAATCATCTTGGTTGCCCTGCGCTGGACTCTCTCCAGCAGCTCCCTGTCCTTCTTGAACTGAGGGGCCCAGAACTGGACACAATATTCCAGATGGGGTCTCACCAGGGCAGAGTAGAGGGGAAGGAGGACCTCTCTCGACCTACTAACCACCGCCCTTCTAATACATCCCAGGATGCCATTGGCCTTCTTAGCCACAAGGGCACAGTGTTGGCTCATGGTCATCCTGTCGTCCACTAGGACCCCCAGGTCCCTCTCCCCTACACTGCTCTCTAGCAGGTCGTTCCCCAACCTATACTGGAACCTGGGGTTGTTCCTGCCCAGATGCAGGACTCTGCACTTTCCCTTGTTATATTTCATCCCGTTATTCCCTGCCCAACTCTCCAGCCTGTCCAGGTCTCGCTGGATGGCAGCACAGCCTTCTGGCGTGTCAGCCACTCCTCCCAGCTTAGTGTCATCAGCAAACTTGCTGATAGTACACTCAATTCCCTCATCTAAATCATTGATGAATATATTAAATATATTATTAATAAATATTAAAAATATTATTTCTCTTGGATCAAAACCTAATTAGAGCACTTCAAAAAATACAGGTCATTTGGTGATACAGGTAGTGTCTTCAAGCCAGAGAGAGGATATCTGGGGGTAGACACAGACTTGGTAAGAGGCAAGTGGTTTGGTTTTAAGCACATCCCTACGATAAGAGAAAAATTACCCTTGAAAACACGACAGAGAGGGATTTAGGTGTATGTTGTGTCTTCCTGGACATCATGTTGCAAGTAGTACTTTGAGCACAGAACTTTCCTTTCATTAAGTCCCAGGGGTGTACTCATTGTACAGTTCTTTGGCAATCTGTGCTCCCAAAATCATTATATAATTGTGACATAATTAGCCTTTTTTGCTAAATTATTTGGAAAATGGAAATCTACTTCATTAAGTGTAAGGTATTTCCCTGGTTCCTCATTATATACCCGCCCCTGCCTCCTTAGGATTAATACTTCCATTTATGCTACTTTAAACTGTCACCTCATTTT